AGCTTACGACTGTAATATGATTAATAAATTTCAAGGACATTTCCCTCTCCAAAAAAGGTTTCTTGTTTTCCTAAAGATGCATTGGGACATATGAATTTTAAAATAAACATGCTGGTGTTCAGTTTCCTTTTTTCTACCTCCCTCTTTAAATCCCAGATTGTTGCCTCTTCCACCTTCCACCTAAACATCAGAGGATCTAAAATCTCACGGAAGGACATAAATTAGTATCAAAGACTGTGGGAAGTACTTTTTTCTGTATTCTAAATATACTTTTGATTTTAGCTGTGACAAGCTACTCAGTGATAAATCTGTGTTCTTTAACATTGACGTCAGTGTTTGGCAAACAGAAAAAAGTCAGTCAAGGAAATATCTGCCTCTGGTATGTTCAGAGCAGTGCATGCGGTTTTTAACTCTTGAGAGCAAGCACCATTTTTGGTTTTGCTCAACACTGTCTCCTGTTGAGTTGTCAGCCTTGGAACTGTGGAAACTTTGGGGTGGATAACCCTTTGTGGTTGGGGCTGTCCTGCCATTGTGTTAAATAGTATTGACTCCACGTGGAGAGTTTCCCTTTGAAGCTTGGTCCTTCTTTTCTTTTGCTGCTGTAGCCATGTGATTTTGAAATTGGGGCACAATGCTCCTCAGGGCTACTTTATTAAAAAATATTAATTAAAAATTCATGTGTTTCAATGTATTTTTATCCTTTTTTTTTTAAATCAAAGTTATGAGTTTTGGGCAATAAGGATACTTCAGAACTGGGTTGCCTAACATGATAACCACTAGCCACACTGGCAATTTCCACTTTAATTTTACTGAACACAAATTAAATGTAATGAAGCATTTAGTTTTTCAGCCACCCTGTTCACATTTCAAGAGCTCCTTAGCCACGTGTCTACTAGCTACAAGGAGACAGTGCAGGCAGAACATTCCCACCATCACAGACAGTTCTGCTGCTCACAGTGGCTCTGGAATGGTGTTGGCAATCCATGACCTAGGACTCACTCTAACCCCACCCCCTACACTTGTTTTGTAAATAAAATTTTCTTGAAATACAGCCAAATGTCTTCATGTTGTCTATGGTTTTCAGGCTATAACAGCAGAATTGAGTAGTTGTAATAGAGTCCCTATGACTCACAGAGCCTAAAATATTTTCTTTTTGTGACTGCACTTACAAGTATACCTGCTCATAAAGCTGAGGTTGTTCATATAGCATAGTTGTTATGTGTGAGCAGATGTTCGTAGTGTAATAGGTTATATGAGGCAGGAGTTATCAAAATTCAAAGATGAGCTGGGTCAGAACATCAAGAATAGAGTTATCTGGCCAAACCTCTGGATTCCTAGCAGAGAACAGTTGTACCTTTGTAGGGGTAACCAGAATGTGTGTTCCTCTCTGGGAGATCAGATTCTTTCCAAAAATGAAAGGATGAAAGACTATCAGGCAAGACAACATGCAAACAGTCAGTCAACTCAGGGTGGGCTGGACAACGAGCAGAATGAGTCCACAGTTGCCCCGAGACCCATCAGTGCTGCTGGCCCATTGGCGCTGCTAAGCCACAGTCTGGCTGGGAGTGTGTGATGGAATCTACAAAGGAATGAGGACAGGCAGAGAAAGCAGAGTGAGGTAGGGGGAGGGGGAGCGTTTATCTGTTAGACCTAAACACCTTTCAATTAAGGCTTTCAATTTGGACTCACATAGGAATTTATTCAGAAATGTTTATTTCATTAACAGAGTAACTTTCTAATTTTTGATTGATTGGCTCATTTAGTATTTTTATGGTCTTTTATTTTGTGGAGTATCTAAGAAATTTAGTCTCTTAGATAACAAGTAAAATATTTAAATTTGTTTTGTTTTTAACATCTTTACATATCATTTTAAAAAATAATGTTTTATACCATGGAGTTTTTATACCATTTTGATGAGACATGAGCTTATTTTGTCTGTGTCTTGGGCTGATAGTTGTTTTTTTTTGTTTTGTTTTTTTTAATGGAGGCCAAATCATGATGTATAAATTGTACCCAAGACAAATTTGTCTTTGAAGATTGTTAAACGCTGATTTTTTTTAAGTGTATTTTTAGTTAGTTGATTTTAAGTTGTAAATTATAATGCAATCTAATGGAAGTAAGCTTTTGACATTGGCCTGATAGGACTGGCTTTGCGACTCTTTCTTTGTTGCTTTCCCAGGTGAAAGCCAGCAGCTTCTTAATCACAGTGCCCTTGCCTCTGCGGCCAGGGCTTCTCTCCGGTGAGTGCCTTATAAAGGCTGACCTTCACTAGAGCAGATTATAATGTGGCAGGGAGAGCTAAATTTAGAGGGAAAGCAAGCCTCTGCTCCAAATAGTAACAGCTCAACGATAGAGACTTTTGGTGAACAGAGTATCTTCATTTAGTCTTTCAATACCAGTAGGTGAGTCCCTGTGTTGTTTGTTTTAATTTTTGGTGTGTACATCAAAAACTTTCCATCTCTTTTATGTTTACAAGTTATTGTGTTATTTTCCACATAGACTATATTGAGGGTTTGAGACAGTGCCATATAATTAGGCTACGAAGAAACAAAGGTTTGTGTTTAGAATTGAAGAGAGCATAAACGGAGCTAACAATTTTTTAAATGGAGTAATTCCCTCATGGGTAGGCTGTGTGTAATGGTAATTCTCCATTGTCAGCAAACTAGAAACAAAGTACAAAAGTAGAGTTAATTGGGGTTCCCAATTGTTTATATTTCTGGATCCTAAAAAAGATCTTTTAGAAAGGGCTCACACTTTTAGAATATTTTTTTATTCCAAAATATAAACATCATTGGCAAAGTATAAGTCCTTCCTTGCATGTTTACCTACTGGAGGAGTTTCAGGCTAGTTGTTCTTTTTTTTTCTTTTCTTTTTTTTTCCTATTTTTGTTTTTGCATCTCTGGTGTGAGACCCCAGGTCTGTAACAGATATTTTTCTTTACTAATACAGAAGACATTTTATATAAAAATGTGTTGTTTGAGGGGAGGTGTGGAATACATGCACATACACATGCCTGTGTACACACATGTGTTTATATGCATTACTTGTTCTTCGATGAGGTGTTTGCTGATCCAGAGTAAATCCATGGAAAATGTCAAAGGAAATTTCTGAATGAAAGAGTTTTGCAATGAGTATAAATAATGCATTAGAAGCTCTATTTCCAACATCTATCAAATAAAATGAGATTTCGTCAGTTACATTTATAACTATTTAAAACGTAGCTGCTGCCGCATACCCATACAACAATCAGTCACTTTTTTGGCCCTTGTTCTGGGACTGTACTATTTTCCCACCTATCTCATTGCATTGTAAACGTTGAGATTTTATCTCCAGAGGAGGCTCTGCTTTTCTGAGGGCATGGAATCTGCCTTAGTCGTCTTTATTTTGCAAAGCATGATGGATTAAGTTCACTTTATAGGATTGATATAAAACGTCTTTATTTAAGCCATATTACTGTTTTCATTTGTCACCTTATTTCTAATTAGTTTCATTTTTAAAGTTATGATTAAAAGTTTTTAGTGATAAACAGATTGCTTTTTATGTGAAAATAAAAGTTTCTCATTAGTGGGTGTGAAAAAAGTTTTTGTAATAAATTGAGTAATAATTTTTGCATGCTTAAGAAATTTTTTTTAAAAGTTTCATACATAAATAATTTACTTGAATATTACAAATTTTCATGATTACTTAATGGTGTAAGTATTGGAGAAAATCTGGACATTTTCAAGTCACAATTTTTAAATACTTTGAAAGATAATTAAATAATTTGCTTGACATCTTATTTGTTTAGTTCTCATCATTTAGATGATCTAGACATGTTTTCAGATTGTAATATTTATGCCAGCAAACTTATTCTTAATTTATAAAATGTCTTATTTGGTTGTTGTTGTTTTTTTTACTTTTTTCAAAGCTAATATATTTTTTAGTTGTCTATTAAGTCAAATTGGAGAATATAGAATACCCAAATCACTGACCTATGAGGTAAACAAATATAAGACTTTTTAGCAGTTTTTTTTTTATATCTTTCTGAAGTTTTGCTTGCATAGAAAAGTGGAATATATATATCACCATTTTAACCAAAAACATATGTTTTACACTCTTATTCCACTTGTTTTTTTCCATTAGCAATGTCTTGGCACAGCTCATTTGACAATTATTTGAGCTTATTTGAGCATTATTCATTAAATGCTTACTGTTTACTCAGCGTTATTTTAGGTGCTAAAGACACACTGTAAAGTAAAAACTATGAAGTCCCTCCCTGCATGGAGGCTACACCCTCAAGGGAGAAATAGACCAGAGGCACAGACATGATCAAATGGCAGGGCTTCTCTGCAAAGGGGGCCTTTGATTGGGTGTAAAGAGAAGACCAGGGGGACTGACGGGGATAGCATCCTTCCCAGAAGAGAGGGACTCCTCTGGCACATTGGCGGAAGAAAGGGCAGTGTGGTTGGAGCACAGTGAGTGCTGGGACGAGAGGTAGATGTAGGAATCATAATCTGAGAGGTACCAGGCCTAATTCCTTCATTTGTAAAACTTCATGAAATTCCATTTGATGGCTTATTATAAACTAGTTTAACCAGCCTCATATTTATGAGCATTTAGGTTTCCATTTTTTTAATGCCTCTAACAATGCTGAACTGAATTCTTTCTACACACACGCTCACAAAATATATTCACATATTTGTGTGGGTATACATTCCTAGTAGAGAAATTGCTGGAACCCAGGTTGTGCACATAGAAATGTTTATAGGTATTCAACAAATGTTTCCCAGTAGTATTGCATGGAGTTTCTCTCTTATGCCAAAATTTATGCCTGAGGTTGTTTCCTTTATGTCTTTTTGTCAACACTAGGTATTATTAAACTTTAAAACTTGCTAGTTCAGTAGTTAAAGTTATCTCATTTTGTTAAATTATATTCAGTATGGATGAGATTATGCTAATTAGCTATATATTTTTATATGAACTGCTTAATTGAATTACATAATCTTTCTTTTCTTTTCCAGAAATTTTATGAATAAGCATCAGAAGCCAGTGCTAACAGGCCAGCGGTTCAAAACTCGGAAAAGGGGTAGGTTGTGTTGTGGGTTTGGGGCGGGGGGCATGTTTATATGTAGGTGTGTTTTAAGTTCCAATCAAAATATAAAAGTGGAGAAGATTTAGAATTATATCCTTGTTTCCAGCTAACCTCCCTAATTCCAGTCTTTTGAACTCTGGATGGAGAATCTGAAGGTCTGAGATCCAGCCTCAGAATTGCCAGTCCCTTAGGTGTTTGATTTTGGATAAGCCATCTAACTTGTCTGAGCTTTGTATCGTTATCTACAAAACGAGGATAATTACATCTGATCAGGTTGCCTCGCTCTCAACTGAAGATGATTGACTTTAGTGTTTTGACATCAGCATTTGTATTTGTTTTTTGCCTTCTTTGTTTTTCAAAAAGTATAAAGAGCAAGGATACTACAACTAAAAGAAAAGTAAGCTAGGGAAAGAGTTTTTAACCTTTTCAGAATTTAGAGAGTTAAATTAAACTTACTGCCCTAAATATCTTTAAAACACAGGATATTTTCAAGGGACTTTTCTTGTGGGAAGAGTATTGAGGAATGACTGATGAAATTACTACTTGCATGCGCCACTGCTCCTTTTTATGTCATGTTCATCTTAACATCCTTTCTGTGTAAAGATTATTTTTAAAGGTTTATATTTAGTCAGTTTTGCATAGTTATGTAGAGATCCTCTTGGGCTTAAGAATAATTGAGCCAATACATGATGGGGAAGACTTTTTAAAATACAAAACAAATGAAGTTATTGTGTTGACTGACCCTGAGGAGAGTGACTGACAATGTTTAAGGAAGTGTCATGTATAAAGAAAAACGATGGCTGAAATCTTCCCGAAGGCCTCACGGCTGATGATGAAGCATCATGCCATTCAGCGGTCGTCAGGTGCTACACTGTTGGATGGATTACCCATGGCGTATGCCTTTGGCGTGTTCAGTTGGGGTGTTTCGGCAGCACCTGCTGCTGATGTTCCCTTGCAGTGCTGTGTCTGGGTTAGCATAACTCCAGTCATTTAGAAAGAAAAGAAGTCTCAGTTCACTTGGTCAATTGGATGAAAAAAGTTCCCAAGAGTCACTTGGTAGCTCTAAGGCGGAATTGAACTGTAAACGCTGGCTGCCGGAAAGCTTCACGCTCCCACTAAACAATGTGAAAGTAACCAACTGGTTATTTTGTACAGTATTTCTGTTTGCACTCTCCTTCTTTCGATGTGTGTTGTTGCTGTTTTTTTAGTCCCGGGCTCATCCCCATAAACTGTCTAAGTAAAAGCACAGCCTAAGCCACTGCCCTCTACTTAGTCCTCTAACAAAGCGATCTCCCCATTAAAATCTGGAAACTGGGACCAATACAAGGCGCTACAACCAGCATGCGTTTGTTGTTTTATTGTCTAACGCAGTCTTGGGCGGGGGAGACTATAAAAAAAATCATCACAGTTGATTTCCAAAGGGCTTCATAATTAAGGAACAATGTAGTCCAGAAACCTAATTACAGTTTAGGTGTTTTTGGGCCTGGTAAGGTTGTAATATTTCATCTATGCCCGACTGTGAGGCGCAGAAAGGTTTGCCGTGTCCTGCCCACTGAGGAACTGTGTTAATCTCAGACTGGATCTCCAGCTCTAGCAGCTTTACTAGTGACGCCGATTCACACACGGTAACAGCCCCAAAGCCAGGAGCCGGCCCAAGAATGTGTTGCACAACAGCAGACATGATTCCACAAGCAAGCTTGTCTTGCAGTCTTTTGATCCGGAAAGGTCCTCTCATCCTAGCTGGTTTGCCTCTGATTCATTCGGTGGGCGAGATCGTGCCTGAGTCTTATTGCTGGGGAGCACTCAGAGCCCGCAGCCTATTGCATATCGTTGCTCAGTTGATCTGGTTTTATAGGCTCAAGTCTGAGGGAGATTTAAGCAGCACTTGAGCTATTTCGTGCCAGTCTGCTGACAGGAGAAAAATAGTCAACCTCATTTTATATTCTTTGGAATAGTGAATTGCCTCCTGACGATTTATAGTGCTCTGGCTTTTCTCTTGCTATTATGACAGGGCCAACTGCAGATAAATGGTTGGCAGTTTTGTTAAGCTGAGGAAAAATCTACCGAGGCTGTTTCAAGGTCATTTTGATAGGCTGTCTTCTGAAAATCTGTCTTCCATTTGAAATTATTTCCTGGCAATTTGGCTAATGCTCTTCCATGTATAAGTTGGTACAAAACAAAATGTATTTCTTTTTACTGAACATAGAAATCCAGTATCATGGCAGGACACATCATATAGAACTCCTTTCAGACTGTCTTTTCCTTTATAAAATATGCAGAACTTACTTAGTATATTTTCTTCAAAGGAGTTACGTTTTCCATTGTGGTTTGTGGGAATCTAAAAAGATGAATGTTTCTCCCCTGAACCACGGTGATGCTTAGCTAAATGAATTATTTAATGACTGAGTTGACCTCCCTGAAAATTTTGTAGAGAGATTGGATGAAAATAGGAGAGGGAATAAATGACCCAGTTGCAGACATCTGGAGTGACCACAGTCTTGGGTTTCTCCCTGAGACTTTACACCTGTCCTAGTGGTTTTAGATTACTCAGCTTTTTACAATAAGTAGTGGTAGCAACTAATCAAGGAAAGCTTTAAATGTGCAAATATATGTGTCTGTGTATGGTTAGAAATTCCTGATAGTTAATTCGCTTACTATATATCTCAGTGACTTTCAGGGAGGAATGCAGGTTATGTTGTTTATCACTTAATGATCAACAGGCTGGGAAAATGCTGTGTTAACCAGTTACTATAATTCCCAGAGAAAGCAATGCATCTAGATAACTTACAGGCATATTTGAGTCTTACAGGCATAAACGAGTCAGAAATAGGCTCATTTCTCCATGTCAGTTTAGGGGTTATTCTGACTAACTCCTCCGTGTCTCACTTGTGATTCACCAACATAGTATAAATTGAGGCCCTAATTATATGTTCCCACTTGGAGGGAGTTTTGACCTGCCAAATGGAAACTCAGGAAGCAATGGCATATTTTTGTTTGGATTTTTTAAGCCGGTCCTCAAATTAAATATGAAATTACATATACTATTATCTCAGATGAAAAAGAACCTTTTGGTAAAATGCCTTGTTTCCTCAAACTTCCATCCATGTTCTTGCCATGCTCCTGTATAAGATGTTTGTATTCCTCTACATGGACACTTAGCTTAGCAGGTGGGAATTTGTTTTCCAGTCTGCAAAAGAATTATTAATCCCATCATTCCTCATGACTTTTCAAGATTCCCAAGCTGTAAGTGATCATTTTGACCTAATTGCTTGCTGTTGAGAATCTCTGGCTGTCTTCTTCCTTTTGCTTTTCCTCTTCCTTGGCAAATCTTTTGGAAAATATAACTGGAGGATGAAAGCTTCTTACAAAAAGCTTTTCAGTTGTCTCTTAGATTTAAAACCAAGTCCTCAGCATGAATTTGTAGCATCGTCTATGTTTTACCTTATTGACCAACTTATATTTTCCAATGCCTTCAATTTCCAATTTTTGATCATCAAAGCCTATTCTGCCACCGGAGTCAACATCCCAGGAAGTTGTGGTGTCATAGTAGGGATGGCTTCAATTGATTTTGGAAGCTAGTCATAATAAACAACCCATGGTCTTTGGGCTTTTTTATTTCTTGTGGTCTTTACTGCGCATGTTCTCATATTCTGGGAAAGGGACCTTTTCTCCACGGGGAGAGGAAAATTACCCTTTAGCTGGAACCTGAGTAAGGGCTGCAAGTTTCCTTTCCCTGCCCGTGAATTCCTCCTGCTCAGTCAGACAGTTATCCACCCACTACTCATAATCTGCCTCTAGAGTTCCCATTCTCTTCCTTCCCATCTAAAAAAATTATATTTTTCCCCCCTGTGGTCAATATTTGCATGTTCTTAGCTGCATAATGTTTTGCTTATAGCATCAAAAGGACCTCTGTCTCTTGTTCATGAGGGATATTATTCAAGTTCATTTACATCTGGCTTTATGATATGCTGTTTGAAGCTGACTGGTACAGGGAATGCCATTCTTCTCTGGTTCTGAGGCTATGGTGTTAACCCCTTATGAAACCAGCAAATCTCTTACTACAAACAGTAGGAATTGTAACATTATTGTATTGAAGGCACTTTATATTATTATATTGAAAAACGCTCTCCTGGAGTTCTTTATCTTATTTTTTTATATACAGTCTTCTTTATTTTTAGGTGCTTTTCACTGGATTTTTTTTTTTTCCCTGTCTCAGATGAAACAAAATTTTAAGTTTTAAATGTTATACTCTTTTTTTTTTTTTTTCTTTAATCAGATAGTTAGGGTTAGTGAATTACAGTGGCCCATTCTATAAATGACACAAATGATTAATCATTTTTTTATGTATTAGAGTTAACAAATTTTTGTGCCCTCTTTAAACAGAAATACATTTCTTGATAAATGTTCAAACTAATGTTTAGAATGTGGAATCTAGTTAAAAAAAAACACACACACACACAAAACTTAATTGCACTTAAACTTTTAAATAATTATAATACCAAATATATTGTGATTGCATTTGGGAATGTAATGTGTAAATAAAGGAATCCTATATAATAAAAGGCTAATATACAAATTGTCCCCTGTGGAGTTCAACCGACTGGCAGTTCAACCTCTTGCTATGACATGTGCTGACCACCAAGGAATGCCACAGAACGAAGGAAGGCCCTGGCTGGCAGACAGAAGGCCCTGATTGGCCCTAATCGGCCCTGATTGCTAGCTAGGTCTAGGTACCCTACCCATGCACAAATTTTGTGCACTGGGCCTCTATTTTATAATTTTTTTTTTTAGATGAAAAAGAGAAATTCGAACCCACGGTCTTCAGGGATACACTTGTCCAGGGGCTTAATGAAGCTGGTGATGACCTTGAAGCTGTAGCCAAGTTTCTGGACTCTACAGGCTCAAGACTAGATTATCGTCGCTATGCAGACACACTCTTCGATATCCTGGTAGCTGGCAGTATGCTTGGTAAGCCTGCATGATAGCATCTTCTTGTAGTGTATCTATTTTTAATTCTATTAAAATAGTTCCTTATAAGGTAGAATTTCTATAAGTTTACATTTGTGGGAGACTCACCAATTTTTATCTAGATTACAATTTGGAATAGTATTAATGTGGCTATGAAATAATTACTAATTAAAAAAAGGCATGGAATTGAGGTTTTTCTGTTGACATTAAAAATGTCTTTAGATAGAAGCCAACTTTCCCATGTGTTCCTAATCCTTAAAAGTTCCTGGAGCATTTAGCACAGGAAGAATAATTTCTGCAGTATAGTATAACTTTGTATATATCATCTGGATCATTCCAGTATGTTTACTTAACCCGCGTTACATGCCAACTTTTCCTCTATCTAATAGAGCAGAGGCATCAGGGAAGAAGGCTGCAAAATACCATTTTAGTGACATAGTATCTTGATCTAAATGTTTATTAGGTACATAACCACCCATTATTTCTTTCATAGTTATTCTTAGTAAGAACGTAGTTTTGATCATTGGTTTCTGTAGTAGCCATAAGTCACTAAAGTGGTCAAATTCCCTAGGCCAGTGATTTTCAACTGCCATGGGAACATTTGCAGATGTGTGGAAGTGATTTGGTTGCTATGTAGACTTAGGAGTGGAGGTCATCTATGCTACCTGCTTTACTATGCGAAGGACAGTCAATACAATGAGAAATTACCCTGCCCAGCCCACTGTAGTGCCTTTCATTGAGAAACACCGCTTGAGCCGGCCTACTGTACAACAGGTATATGTGTTTCTCCATTCTGAAGTAGACCCACCCTTTAATTTCTCCCTCTGAGCTCTTGTATTTATTACAGTATTTGGCTCCACTTACTATAGGCCCCCCCTTTTTTTATCTGTACTGATGGCTTTTACTACAAATTAATTTTATTGTTGTTATTGTTTATAAATTATCTCATATCATCACTTGAGGTAATTCAAGTCCACACATAAAAGCTGGTAATATGTTCAAACCCAGACATGAAATTTTTGATATTTTGGTTAATTCCCTTCTCTACCTAAATACACATACTTTCGAGAATGGATTAGTATACAAATATGATACACTGTATGCTATTTTGTACTTACTCTGCAATATGTTATTGCCTTTTATGTCCATGAGTGGTACCTTGGATGACTCTAAAGAGAATTAAAACTATACTGATTGCCGAAACCAGTTTGGCTCGGTGGATAGACCGTCGGTCTGTGGACTGAAGGGTCCTGGGTTCGATTCCAGTCAAGGGCATGTACCTTGGTTTCAGGCACATCCCTAGTGGGGGGTGTGTAGGAGGCAGCTGATTAATGTTTCTCTCTCATCGATGTTTCTAACTCTCTATTCCTCTCCCTTCCTCTCTGTAAAAAATCAGTAAAATATTTTTTTAAAAATAAAATAAAACCATACAGATTTTTAAGAATATTTAACTCCTTTCCAGTTTTCATTATTATAAACAACAATGTAATCAGTATTTGTGTAGACATATTTGTGCTTTTATTTAGTTATATTTTTATGTATTCAGCAAAGGATTAATGAATTGATGGATGGAAATATCTATGTCTGTTTATGTTTTATCAGTCTCTCTGAAAGAGAGAAAATCAGCCCAAAAAAAGGAATGTCAACATTTTATCAAAAATCATATGTTCCTGGCCCTGGCCAGGTAGCTCAGTTGGTTGGAGCATTATCTTGATGTGCCAAGGTTGCAATTTCAATCCCTCATCAGGGCACCTACAAGAATCAACCAATGAATGCATCAATAGGTAGAACAACAAATCTATAAAAAAAAAATCTTGTTCCTATTTACCTACACTTTTAGCAATGTTAGGTACTCTCAATTTTGTCAGATTCTTAGTTTTTTGTCAGATAAGTGATACATATTTTTATTTAAAACTTTTAAATTAATTATGAAGCTGAACATTTTCTGATGTGATTTTGTTGTGTGTATGTGTTTCATTCATTGTGATATACTTTTATGGACACACTGGTAAGTACCATGCTAAAATAGTCTTCAGCAAAACTTGGTTCTTGCCAAAGTGACTTCGTTAGTCAATGATGTGGACCCTTTTCCACCCTCTGCCTCCTGGCAGCACCGTTGACCCTTCTGATGTGCTTGAAATGTTTTATATGTTTCTCTTACATGAACCATTTAGACTTTCTCCAACATCTGGATGTCACTTCTTACGTGACTCCTGCATTTCTATACTTACTCATCCCACATATGTATTAAATTATCTGTGTGCTTTGCATTGATTATCTCAGTGCTCCATTTACCATCTGTATAATCATAATCAGCACATTTACATCTGCAGGCCAGGGTTCACTCCTTCATGCCTCATCCATACATCCCAGAGGAGGGTAGAACACAATGTTTGGTACAACCATGAGCACAGGCAATACATGACTGGATGTCCAATGAGGCCAGACCTATGATGTAATGACTGAAGCCAGTCAGGTGCATTCTTTTTATATAAACAACATGGTTTACTTATCAACTATCTGAGAATTTTCTTCCCACCCACAAAAATATTTACCTTCTCCCATTGTTCTTTAAGCAACATTTCCTTGGTATTTCAGTTCTACGCTTTGAATAATAGATACAAGAAATAGTTCACTGGTTTTACTTCTACTTTGAGAAAAACAGCAAGCTTACCAGAATTTTTAGAAAATAGCAATTAATACTTGGTCCCAATATCAGGGAAAATAAAATTTAATGTTGCAATATTAACGTGTAACAAATGTTTTGTAAAAGAATGCAATTTTTAAAAATTGCCACTTAAAAAAAAATAGACTGTAGTTTCAAAATCAGGCGTCCCAGTTATGTAACTTCCACCAGGTTGGAATTATTAGTGCAGGATTGTTAGGAGATTATCATCTTAATAAAATGTTGGTCCAGGTGGTTGAATTCATTACAGAGAGCTAATTAAATCTTACGCATAATTATTTGAATGAAAATAGACTCTGGAAGGAGCTGACTTTTCTAAAAACTAATTTACTTATAAAACCATATGCTGAGGTCAAGAAAAAGTTGGCTTTGGCTATGTGTAGACCTTTTCATCCAAAGATTTAAAGTCACAAATTAAATCAAGGCATTTATACACTTAAACAAAGTGGCAGTACAAGTACATAACCTATAAATATTTGTTGAGTGTATAAAAGATAGAAATCTAACTTGGCTTACTCAAACATTCTACTCTAATTAAAGTGAGGTTAGAATCAGGAAACAGAAATACCTGCTGTTCCCCTTATGGTCTTCTAATCAACCCATGTTTTAATGGCCACCATTAAAACTTACAGGAGGAGACTTGGACTGTGGAAAGTTGAGTCGTAGAAAAATGGCATTCTTCTGTTCCAGTCCATTTATTTTATGATACCATATCAGCCGTGGGAAAAAGAAGATGAGAGAAAAGAAAGCACACTTTTTCCTAGCCAATGCAGCTACAGTGACCAAACACAAACGGTATGCAGTCAGACTATGCACTGCCCAACCCTGCATGGAGAACTGGATTGGAGGAGGGAACAGTTTTATTACCTCCTCCAGACCAACAAGACCTATCCTATGAACTCCAGGCTTGGTCAATGCCAGTGTTGGTGAACTGGAATCCGACAAAATATTATTGAGACTGAAAAGTGAACCGTGACCTGATATGGGAAACATCAGGAATTGCATTGAGAATAACTAAGTTCAGTGAATAAATATTATTGCTTAGCTGTCATGATTAAGGATATAGTTGGGAAAGATCAGACTTATAGTGATAGAATCTAGTGAAGGCAAGAATGTAGAACAATCATCTCATATACAGTGGTGGGAGTTTAAAATGGAACAATCAGTTTGCATTGTATTAGAGAAACATAAACAAATAGATAAAGAACTATTGTATATCTCTGCATGCACATCACTCTGTGAAATGTTATGTTACTCTTAGATTTAGTAGACATCTACTTTTATTGTTTTCCTGTGGTGCAGTGTTGATCTGTTCTCCTCATTGCCTTTCTCTTTTTTAGCCCCTGGAGGGACACGCATAGATGATGGTGACAAGACCAAGATGACCAACCACTGTGTGTTTTCAGCAAAAGAAGATCATGAAACCATCCGAAACCATGCTCAGGTAGAGCCTATCATGGAGAAGTTGTTTTGTTAGAAGGGAAACATTTAAACAGGATTCAGGGAAATATTAGGTTCAGGGATTCTACGGGCCACTTTTTAAATAGGAATAGTTTATAGCTCATAACATTGAGAGATACTCAGTTGCATTCATAATAAGACAGTGGGCATCAAAACATTATGAAGGTGGAGATGTTTACCTCTCACCCATAAGGGAAGTGGGGAATTGAATACTCATATATTTTCTGGTGAATGTATAAATTAGACCAACGTTTAAGGAGAGCAATTTGGTAGTATTTTTCAAAACTAAAACTATATATTTTCTTGACCCAGGAATTCCACTTCTGGTATACATACAGTGTTAATTATCATAGTGTTGCTTATAACAATCTCAAGGGATTAAAAACAGTGTGATAGTGGACCAATAGAGTATAATTAAGTAAAGTTTGGTAATTCATATTAAGAGACTATCATGTAGCTGTTTAAAAAGGAAGAGTAAGAAGAAATTTGTGATACATAAAAGCTATTAAGGATTCATATCCAGATTAAATATGCCACTGCAAGTCAGTAAGAAAAAGACAAGCAATCTATTAAGGAAAGACACGTAGGCCTTTCAAAGAAGAGGAAATACAATTCCCCCCAAAATTAGATGAAGACATATTCAAACTCATTGAAATTTTAAGTGAAATCATGAAACATTCTTCTGCATTCATTAGATTGGTGAAAAAGTTAAGTCTTTAGGCCCTAGTGAGGGTCAGAGTGTGGCAGGAATGTAAGGAACAGCATTATATTCAAAAGCATGACTAGCCACTTAGAATTGGTGTGTTCCTATTCTGATTCTATCTTGGGCCCTTCTTAAAAGTCTATTCTTATTCCCAACTAAATTTTGTGGTTGAGTCCAAGATCATCAAGTCTTGTTATACACATTTCAATGTATTCATGAAAAAGGCCATAGGACATACTGACAACTAAGTGACTGGATTTCATTTGCTAGAAACTGTCTTTTACTTTAGTTATTAAAATGTGAAAGGCATGCTAAGTCGACTGATATATGAGATATGTGGCCATCAAGAATTTTAACTTCAAAAAATTATTCCAATTACATGGCATTTTAGCAAAGGTATTTCTTTCCTTTTTACATATAAGAAACACGTAACAGATAAAAACATAAAATAGTTTCTAAGGATTGAGTGGGCCCTGGCCAGTTTGGTTAAGTGGTTAGAGTGTCAGCCCTTGGACCAAAGGGTTGTGGGTTTGATTTCCCATCAATGGCATATAACTGGGTTGCAGACTCGATCCCCAGTCCAGGTCGGGATGCCAACGGGAAGTAACCAATGGAAGTGTCTCTCTTGCATCAATGTTTATCTCTCTGTCCCACCCGCCCCTCCTCCCTTCCACTCTTTCTTAAAAAAAAAAATCAGTGAAAAAAGTAAAATATCCTTGAGTGAGGATAAATAGGAAATCTTTGCTTCTCCTCGGTATGTAAATGGCCCACAGAGCCCTGAGCAGGTGTGTAGTGAAGCAAGTGTATTCATTTCAAAAGCTGGACTTTTATATTTTCCGCTCAGCCTTCGGTATATCAAATAAGTACAGTTCACTAAGGACCAGGATTTCTGATTTCTGTTTCTGTCTCATACTTAATAGCAGTTCCTGGATCTGCCAAATACCACATTAATGCCCACCTTATCTTCCTCACAGAACTTTTGTTAGAATTAAATTCACACAAGCCACAGGTGTATTACTTGCTAGTTGGGTTCCACTGGGAAAGAAAGATAAGAAGGCCTGGAGAAAAACCATACTCCTCAATCCCATGTTGGGCATTATTCTTCCCCCATAAAGGGCAGCACTGTAATATTTACTCTTGGACTCTCTCTTGGCTGTATTATGGAATAAACACTGGAAGTTTTAGATGAGAATATATCTAAGAGAAAGAAATTAGATGCAGGAGTGATTTTCACAGTTAGCAAAATCCTATATAATAAAAGGCTAATATGCAAATTGTTTCCATGACTGGAAGTTTGACCAGGGGCAGGGCAGCTAACCAACCACCTGCAGCCCCTCCTGGCTGGTCCTCAACCTCCCACAGCCCCTCCCCACAGCCGGCCCAGGACAAGCTGGCTGGACCCCAACCATGCACAAATTTGTGCAGTGGGCCTCTAATAGTATTTATAAAATCCCTACTTAAATAAGAGCATTGTATAGTCCTATTGAGCTGTTATAGCAAAATAAGATTGGGTGGCTTAAAGTACAGAATTTTACTGCTCAGTTTAGAAGGTTGGGAAGTCCAAGTTAAAAGTGCTAGCTGATTAGCTTTCTAGTGGGGTGCTCTCCCTGGCTTTTATAAGTCCTATCAGATTAGGACCAAGCCCTTAGGACTTCATTTAACCATCTCCTAAAGTCCCTATGTCCAAATACAGTCACAACTAAGAGTTAGAGCTTCAACATATGAGTTTGAGAGAACACAAACATTTAGTCCATAACAAACATCACTTCACTTAAAAAAACAGTCCAGAATTCCACTGACACAGTTGCATACCCTGCTGGAGAGTTCTAACTGGATTGTGGTGGTCAATAACCCTTTTTTGCCATTAAGTAAAAACAATTTTTTCCTCATCTGCTAAAAACATGCTTGTGACTACATAGAGTAGAAGCTCCCCTGAACTCTGATCTTCTTGCCAGCATATCTACCATCTGTGTGATTATATATGTAACCCCCTTCATTTAGGGTTGATATTTTACTTAAAAATAGTTGTATTTATATTTCCCAATTTATTCAAATACTGGATTTCATAACAAATTCCTACAGGATATTTCTAAACACATTCTTGAGATTGTACCTTATTGCCTATGATTTACAGAATTTCAGGAAAATACTTTTATTTGTTTTTATAGCTTAATTTGTATTAAAGAGATGGCAGGTGATCACATGTTAATCCCACATGGATTGCACATTTAAGTTATTTCAATCTTTTCATCTCATGGTTTTTAAATTATTCATTTTCTTTTTCATCACAGTTATTTTCAGTTGCTCACCTGTTATATTCTTCAGTGAATTTATTTTATTCAATGTGTGCATTTCGATGCTGTTTTCCCCCCTAGGCCAGAATAACTCCTTTGAAATGCTTATAGTTCTCATATCACAACTGAGCATGTTTAAATACACATTTTTTATTGTAGATCTATGTTGTGGTTTGAGTAAATTTCTATACCTCCTTCTATTGCCTTTTAAAATTGTTTACAAAATATTAAATGGCTCTCTTTTATGTTTAGGTCTTCAATAAACTCATCAGGAGATATAAGTATTTGGAAAAGGCTTTTGAGGATGCAATGAAAAAGGTAAAAATTCAAATGTAATGTCTTATTTGTTGACTTTTTTTTATTAAATGTTTGTTGACTGAATTAATGAGTTTAACAAATCATTAGCTAATACCTGTACGAAGAAATACATGATTAATCTAGATTTTCATACATATTTAATATAAAACAGCATACATTGTTCAATAGGAACAGTTTTATAAAATATAATCTCTGACCTTATAGAGCTTAAAATAAAGAACATAAAATATGCAAGAAAAAGAAATATATTCAGGGAGGAATCAAGATAAGGTGATATAATTAGTTGAAGTATGTGAAATAGCACTGCACAGCAGCTAATACTCAGTAAAGTTCTTAAATTTAAAAAATACAGTTTAGCAAAAGGGATAAAACACATTTTTGGAGATAATGTAAAGGTGTAAATCTCAGTGATTTTTCTCATCTGCAAAATAGTTGTAACAAGATTGCAAACCTTATGGTAATTGGGGGGGGGGGGATGATAACTATATACTACATAAAAGCCTAAGTAGCTATGACATGCACTGGCCACTAGGGGGCAGACACTCAGCGCAGTTGCTGCAGAGTGACAGCAACTTCTCAAAGTACCCTCTCACATTCCAGGACCCTTGGCCCCATCCGCATAGGCCAAGTCCGAATGATTCCACTATTGCATGAATCTGTGCACTAGGCCTCTAGTAACATATAAAGTGCTTAACATAGTGACTGGCCTCCAGTAAGTAGTGAAATAAATAGTAGTGCCTTATTAAAAAGACCTCTTTTTCAGTTATTGCAACATGTTCCCTCTTCCAGTTTGTAGTTCCTCTGTGTTTATATGTAACAGTCACTATATTAACTTGTTATAAATTTGTATGTTTCTTTGTCATTGTTTCCAGTTTTAGACATCTGCCTAAATTATAAAGAAACCATAACATCTATTTTGCTCTTAACTATTTCCTCCTGTTCAAAGTGGTCCTATATATCATAAAAAATATTTTGGCTGTAAAATAATATTTTTTAAATTAATATTTTCAGTGACCCAATTTTCTATTTATGAGTCCTTCAGAAAGGATACTTAAAACTGTATGCTGAAAGGTGTTCATCACAGTATTGAGAAATTACCTAAATGTGCATTGGTGGGCATCTGATTAATTAAATTATGATAACTCTATACAGGGGCATATTATGCAGTATTCTAAAGAATGAGCCCTAATCGTTTTGGCTCAGTGGATAGACCCTTGGCCTGCGGACTTAAGGGTGCCAGGTTCGATTCCAGTCAAGGGCATGTACCTTGGTTGCAGACACATCCCCAGTAGGGAGTGTGCAGGAGGCAGCTGAATTGATGTTTCTCTCTCATCAATGTTTCTAACTCTCTATCCTTTTCCCTTCCTCTCCGTAAAAACTCAATGAAAATATAGTTTTAAAAAAGAATGAGGCCTAGCCACATGAATTGATTGAAGAAAGTGTCCATGGTAGATTGTTAAATGAAATAGCAAGGTGCAGAACAACTATTTGGTACTACTTTAACCTTGGCAAATCTCTTAATTTTTTTGTGCCTCGGTTTCCCTTTCTGTAAAGTAAAGATCAAGGCTGTTGTAGATATTAATACACAAAGAGTATCTGGTCCACTCTACTAATTTTAGTTACCATCAATGTACAGTTCAGTAAAAGCAACTTGTATTATACATATAGCTACTTGTAATATTCAGATACTTATCAATACATTTAAAAATCTGGAAGGACATGCATCAAAGTTAATGTGATTCTAAAGGAGTATGAATAGAGAGGAGGTTTTTTTTACATTTTTATGTTATTGTTTATTGTTAGATTTTATTCTGGCAGTATTACTGTTTTAATGTGAAGAATTTAGATCGAAAGGCATGTGTTTCATTATACTGCTAAATGCTTAGAAAAATGAGTGCTTAAGTAGAGAAATGAATATGATGAAAAATGATGGAAAGCATTCAGATAAATTAAACGTCTTACTGCTTTGTCTAATAACATTACTCGTTTTTACTTATCTTAGCTCGTTTCAGCCGTGAAAACTTCCTTAATTATTTCATTCATGTAATGAATATGCTTTCAAGAATGATTTACATTTCACAGTATTCTATTTTTTAATAAAAATCTACTGCAATACATGCAGCACATAAATTTAATGTTGATTAATAGAATTGAGCAATGTGAATGTTAATTTTTAAAGAATGATCTAACTTTTGCACCATTTTGTTGTAATGGAATATTTTTAATGAATATAGGTATATTAATGTCTTTAAACTAGTATTGTTAACATTTTTATTTTGGAAGTCATTTCACATTATTCACTTGAACCCTACTCAAGATTGATCTAAAGTGTCTGTGATTTTCTCAGTGTTTATCCTGCCCAATTTCTAATGCTCCCTGGAGTTTTAATCATTCATGCTCTCGTCCCTCCCTCTTTATTTCTTGTGAACTTAGAAGCTGACTTCATTTTAATTCATCAACACTTTAACAGGCATAAATTGAGGTGAAATGGAGTGGTTTGATTCCATTCTGCCACTTATTCACAATACTGGTATAAATATTTGGAGAGTCACATAACCTCTATGTAATGTAATAATCTTTTAACTGGTGGGGATAGTAAATTAATATTGCCACACCCACCAGACAGAACTAATGGAACTTCATTGGCACTTAGGCCTATATTGGTGCCAGTAACTTCTCATTGGAGCCAAGTAATGAACAAGTGAGCAGGGCCGGATAGTGATATTGAGCCCCGGGGAGCTGAGTCGCATGCCTAAGGACTGATGAAACGGAGGAAATAGCCCAGGGACACAGTGAAAGCTCCAGACGGAAGGGGGTCAGGAGCCAGGGGAGATCGGTCTGCAGACTTAGTACTCTTGCAGTTCAGAATGAGGAGGGCCTTGGCTTCCCTGCAGCCTTTCTGGGATTGTTACTTTTTCAATTGCCTCTCCAAAATTGCTCTTCCCACCTCACATCAGAAGCCTCTTATCTGTCAGGAACTTTTCTTTCCTGCATGTCCTCCATTAGCTCATCACCAGAACTGGTGGCACACCTGCAGGATCCAAGAACTACCAAGCTTGAATCTTGTTATTTTTAATAGAGCAGCAAGAACTTTCTCACTCACTCTTTCTCTTGAAGAGTATGTATGCTGTGAGCTCAGAAAAAGTATATGCAGGATGTCAAAGACTATTGACTCTTTCCTAGATTTTATTTGTTTTGCTTTAACCCAAAAAAAGGAGGTAGATGGGTGCGGGAAGCTACCCAAAGAAGTGGGGGGGGGGGGGGGGTGAAAGACAGTAATGTATTTCAGAAAACATTACTCTCGTTATGTAATGAACAAAAAGCCAAATGTAAATTACTTATGTAACTGTTCACACTGTTCTCCAGATGTCTCTCTTCCTTCCTGTGAATGTTATCTATAGTTATATATAAGTGAACTTGGAAGAAAGGAACTATGCCTGATAAAGTCACTCTTCATAGTGTCCAATGAGTAACCAAACCTGTGTTTTCAAGGTGTGAGGACTATGCCTGGCACAGGACCTGCTAGTTGTGTTCCATGGATGTGCATTCTGTGTGCTCTTTGCCTACTAGTCCTTTGCTTTATAGACACAGTTTCTTTTGCTTGACCCGCAGCTTCTCCTCTTCCTTAAAGCCTTTACCGAAACAGAGCAGACAAAGTTGGCAATGCTGTCGGGGATCCTGCTAGGCAACGGCAACCTTCCTCCCACCATCCTCACCAGTCTCTTCACCGACAACTTAGTTAAAGAAGGTAATTACTCCCATGTTTACTTACCTGTCAGATGAAGAAGGAAAGCCACAGATATTTAGAAAAATATCAGTATCTCTTCTTAGTGTCCTCAACTCCCCCGTGTAAGATAATGTGCATGTTCGAGGTCTTAAAAAATAAGAGAATTGTACATGTTTATTGTAGAAAATTAGATGAAAAATTTGCACATCTAAACAAAGACTGGTAATAAACCAGGATTTTTGGTGTAACACTCAATGTCTTTGTCAAATACCCTAAAATTAATTTGGTCCAAACCACTTTTCTCAACTTACACGCTATTGGCATGTTTTGTTGGGACAATGCTTCATTGTGCAGGACATTGTTTGTGCTTTCTTGGACATTTAACCTTTTTGCCCTCGGACACAAAATGCCAGCCTGTAGCACCCCCCTCCTTTAGTATAACAACCAAAAATGCCCCTTCATTTTCCCAAATGCCTCCAGGCTGCCATTTCCCTGGTGAGGACCTTGCTTCTCAGCTGTTACCTCAAGAGTTTGTGCTGAGTTGTTCACTTTGAGGACATTTTTAAAACATTGATTGTGTTTGTTTTGAAAGTCCAGATGGCTGCATCAGCACTTAGCTTTCATGTTAAGGCATTAAGAGTTTGACAGACATACAATTACTTGGTTATAGAATAAAACAAAAGTGGGCTTTTTTTTTTTTTTTTTTTTTTTTGAGTAGGAGGATAATGATTTTCAAGTTATAATAGAACACAAAACAAAGGGTTATTTAAAAATAAATTAAAAGAGTTTCTATGAAAACATCTGTTTCTTCTTAGTGCTTAAAGTTTTTCTCTTGTAAATGTGAAGTCCAGCCTCATTCATGCCTGCAGTGAAAAGGTTTATAGTTTTCAAGGAAAGGATGGATTCTCTGTATTTTTCAGCTTAAAGCAGTTCAGATTTATAATAGTTCAGATTCTAATTGTATTATTGATAGTATAACATTTTAAAGTAGTTCCCTGGAGAGAATTTACTAGAAAAACACTACAAAATGTAAACAGTAAATATAATTAAATCAGATTATTTTAGTCCTTATAACAGAAAATGATTGCCTTTCTGGTTGTATTAAAAACCTAACTTCTTTTGAAACATATCAAAAAAGTAAATTATTACATGGATAGATGGACAGACATGGGATAAATCAGTGGTTCTCAACCTTTCTAATGGTGCGACCCTTTAATACAGTTCCTCATGTTGTGGTGACCCCCAACCATAAAATTATTTTTGTTGCTACTTCATAACTGTAATTTTGCTACTGTTATGGATTGTAATGTAAATATCTGTGTTTTCTGATGACCCTGCTAGCGGTTCTCAACCTGTTGTAGAGCCTAAGACCATAAATAATTTTACGGTTGGGGGGTCACCACATGAGGGAAATGTATTAAAGGGTCGTGTCATTAGAAAGTTTGAGAACCACTGGGATAAACCAAAATTGGCAAAAATGTTAACAGCTTAGAATCAGGATGGTGTGTATTTATGAGTTTTTTTGTTGAATTTGTTCAGCTTTTCTGTATATTTGAAATTTTTTCTATTAAAATGTTAGAGGGTAGGGAAGGAGAAGAAAAATACCTTTGCTATGGAAGTGACATGGTTTTTCTTTATACTCCACTATCTTTAGAAATTAAAGGATAAAACTCACTTACTAAATAGGAAAGGATTAAAAAATCACACCTTTTTGTCAATCTCTCACCCAACAAATAGCTCAGGGGGATCAGGTCATCCCATCCAAGAGAGTCTCTAATACAAAGATATTTCTCCAACTTTCCCTCCAAGAGTCACTTTTAATGCAGTGTTATACTGTAGGTTTAAGCCTAGATGTTGAACTCCTGGTTTCAAGCATACTTTATTTTCTTCCTTAGAACATAGATTACGTCATCTGCCATTTTAAACAATTTAATTGCATGCATTTATATTAAATTTTATATTGATTCGATGAACTAATCAAAGCATTAAAAACCCATGTCAACAAGTTTAGAACATAAAATTCTCCAACTTATAAGATATGTATTATAGTCATAGCCAAAATTGGGATGGGGTGGGAGGGTGCTCCATTGCTCTGCTATTCTAATGAAGAAAACTTGGTAAAGTTAGTGTCTGCATAAATGATAGAGCAATTGAATGTATTTACCTGCAAGTAACTGGAAGACAGGACCCGAATTCGTATATCGTAAGGAGAAAATTATTATGTAACCATCAGACTTGTATGGCAGACTTGCCCTGGCTGTGCTGCTCGGTAGTTAAGAGTGCCTGCCGCATACCAGAGTTTTGGGTTGGACCCCACAGTTGGGGCACATGGGGGAGATAACCTATCAATGTCTCTCTCGTGTCAATGTTTCTCTCCCACCCTACCTCCCTTCCACTCTTTCTAAAAAAAATCATTGGAAAAGATATCCTCAGATGAGGATTAACAACAACAAAAAAGTGTGGCAGACTTCAGGGTGAACAGCAGTATCACTTAGGACTGGGGTATTTTCCTTCATTTTTCCTCATTACTCTTGTAGCATCAGTTTCACCCCAAGGATGGTTTCCTGGACATTAAAAGAAGTCTGCTGGTGCAGTTATGTGTGGGGCATGCTTCCCATTCAGGTTCAGTGGATATAGGATAATGAAATAAATTTTCTTGCCTTCAGCTGATTGGCTGAAATTGGCCATGTGATCAGTTTCGGCCCAGTAGTAGTTGCCAGGGGGGTGCCTTGGGCAGATGAGCTTAAGCTGAAGTCAATACACTAATCATTGCAGAAGGAGGTGGTGCCAGGACTTAGATTAGTAGAAGTCACCTGGCCTGAGCAAATGGGAATTCTCTTAAGAAATGGGCACTGAGGCTGCTTAGGCCAACAGCAATAATAAAGCCTGCGATTCAGAAAGATCAGCTTAATATTTCAACTGCACCTTAATTTTTTATTATAAAAAAGGAACATTAATTTAGAAATGTGAAGTTTTCACGGAAGAGCTATCTCCTAATTATCTCTGATTGTTTATACTAGGAAATCCCAATTCAAATATGGATATCGATTTGAGTGGTTTCCTGATTAACTTATCTATTTTAGAAATATCTTAAAATATTGAGAATTCAACTTATAACAGCATTAATATTTTTATAGCTTAATTCGTGAATATTTTAAAATATTGTTGCATTTATTTTAGAAAGAGAAGAAGGGAGAGGGATAGAAAGATAGGAACATCAATGAGAGAGACATTGATCTGCTGTTTCCTGCACACCCTCACTGGGGACTGAGCCCAAATCCCAGGCATGTTCCCTGACTGGGAATTAACTGGGGACTTCTTGGTTCATGGGGCAACTCTCACCACTGAGCAACACTGGCCATGTAAATTCATGAATATTTTTTTAATATATTTTATTGATTTTGTACAGAGAGGAAGGGAGAGAGATAGAGAGTTAGAAACATTGATGAGAGAGAGTCATCAATCAGCTGCCTCTTGCACACCCCCCATTGGGGATGTGCCCGCAACCAAGATACATGCCCTTGACCAGAATCGAACCCGAAACTTTTCAGTCCCCAAGCCGACGCTCTATCCACTGAGCCAAACCGATCTCGGCTAATTCATGAATATTTTTAAATGCTTTTTACAAAAAGTACAGTTGTAAATGAGACATGTTTATAGCTCTATTTGTATCTGCTGCTGCTAATTCTCTTTTACTGGTGTCATTAGCAGATTAGTTGATATGTTGACATTTTAATTTTATGTCTCATGATTTATTTGTTGTACTTCAGGATCACTGTTATATACATGAAATATTGGTGAATTACAGGGTGATATATATATACAGACAAAAACACTAGGAAGTACTTGTTTTTAAGTCTGGTTTTGACCGAAAATAAATAATTTATAGTTATACTAGATTGGAATTAGGAAGTCCAACTTTGAAAAACACTGTAACTTTTTTAAAGTATTAAAAAATGAAAAAGTTCCCTTTTTAGCACTGAATGGCACTTTGCCTAGAAATGTATCCATGTTTCCTTTGTACCAAGTCAAGTCTTGGAGTTATTTATTCATTTCCAGAATCCTGATGAGAAATGTTGCCTTGACCATCATCACAAGGGGTTTTACTTATAAAAGCAACTAAACTCTCTCTTTTTTTAAACAGGCATTGCAGCCTCGTTTGCTGTCAAGCTTTTTAAAGCCTGGATGGCAGAAAAAGATGCCAACTCTGTTACCTCTTCTTTGAGAAAAGCCAACTTGGACAAGAGGCTGCTTGTAAGTCTTATCTGGACCAAGGTGTTGCCTGCTTCCTCCTCCAGCATGGCCTGGCAGCATCTGCAGGACAGTGCATGACGGAGAGGCCTGGTCTGTGCTGAGAGGAAGCATGGTTCATCTCATTTCTGTGCTATGGTAGATGGAGACTAATCTTTCTTTCATAAAGGAAATGGTTCAATTAAAGACTCAAAGAAAACAAACTTTCAAATTTGAGAGTGTGTTGACATAGTGTTAACATTTATCAGAACACTTTCTTTTTTAACTAGTAACTATAGAAATTTGAATTTTTCCTACAGTACAGCCCTATTGAGCCCACCTATTTAGACATTTGTTATATGTTAGGTTAGAGTTGAATAACACCTATCCGAAATGGATGTCATTGTGTTGACAAAATAAAAATTTAAACAGCAGTCCTTGTTTATACCAAGATCCATTGGAAATATTGGGCTATTTAAGCAAGCAAACAAATTCACTGTAGTTCATTCAAAGCTCTCATTATCACAATTACTTAATTATACTTTCACTAGAGGCCCGGTGCACAAAATTTGTGCAAGAGTAGGCCTTCCTTCCCTGGCTGCTGGCACTGGCTTCCCTCCAGCCTCAGGCAGGCTGGACCCAGGCTTCCCTTGCAAAGGGAGACCCTGCCCACCCAGCTCAGCCCATCCATCAGTCGAAGCCTGGTTGCAGCCATGGCGGCTTGCATTGGCCCTCGAAGCCCTGGCTTCGTCTGGAAGGTCATTGGAAGGATGTCTGGTCTAATTAGCATATTATGCTTTCTTTTTATTATAGATTTCTCTTCTTCATATTTCCCCCCCCCCCAAAAAAAAGTCAAGAACAATATTTTGTCCTCCTAATTTCTATCTGCTCCCTATTATTTATAATCTTTCTGCTAGAAGCTGTGCAAATGACAAGTGAAATTGCTTTTACAATTTTAGGACTAAGTCTGAAGTTACAATAAAAGACACCCCAGGCATCTTCTCCTTACCTAGTCTCTTAGCTGGTTTTCTCTTCCAATGTATTCTAGCGTATGAAGGTGCCAATTCACGGAATAATTTTAAAACTGCCTCATTGCATTTCCAGTGACTTAAAATTCCTTTGTCTCTTGAAATTTGCTTTAAAATATCGCTATTTGTATCTTTAAAATATGATAGAAAAGAACATTTACGTTTCTCGTTAATTTCTGCCACTGACAGTAGAGTTCATTCAGCATGAGTGCCCGCTCTGAGCCAACACAGTCCTAGAAGCTATGCAGCCAGCAGAGAACAGGATAGAAAGTTCCTTGCCCTCGTGAAACCTACTTGAGAGACTTGGGGTAAATCTCTGTAAATAGACGTCTTTGAGGCATGGCATGCTGGAGACTGCAAGAGCATTTGGTAAGAGCTAGAGCATAGGAGATCAGCTCAGAGGAGTATCAGAGCCCATGTCATCCAGGGACTTTGGCTTTTATTCTGAAAAGATAGGAATCCTTTGAAGAATTCTCTGCAGATTTGTGATTTAGGACAGCAGTCGCCAACTGATGGTCCATGGACCGCTCGTGGTCCGTGAGGTCCGAAAGGTTGGTGATTTAGGGTAATAACAGGGTGATTCACTTAGTTGCACTGACAATAGACTCAAGAACAAGGCTACAGTAGAGGAGACTACAGTAAATGTCATGATATGATTTAGACAGATTTTGCCTCAGTTTAATCTGAATGATAATTTTCCATATATTATGTAACATTCATGAGGACTTTGGGTATAGTTCATATATAAACCATGAGTAATATGTTTGGTGACATATTGTTCTGAACATAATTTTAGATCAGATTTCTCAGTTACATTCTTTCTAAATGCAATATTAAGTGCCAGCGCAGAACAATGGAATAAGTATTGGTTTTTAAGGTCACACAGCTCTGTCCTTAAATATTTCTGGCTGCATAATTTGAGTCAAACTGCTTAATCTTGTTGGCTCAATTTGTCATCTATAAAAATTTCAACTTTACACATTTATGAACAACAAATCTGCCCCATCTTGATTCATAGCAGAAATTCGGTCTGGTATGAAATGTTTGCTTTAACATGAATGTGTGCTTGATAATTGTTCCCACCAACTCTGTCCTAACATTTTGAAACTCATGACTCAACAAGGGAAATTATGGAATGATGATAGTAAAATATAGAAACTTGAGCATAACTTAGAAGCCATCTGCTTATGTCCCTATACATGGAGACTGTCCAGATCTTTCTACTGAGATGTTTATGGAGCCATATAGCCATTGACCATATATATGCAAATCAAACCAACCTAATTTTTAGACTGCAGCATTCTGAAAAATGTGAGAACTTTGAAAATTGCCCGAATTTTTTAATTGGGTGTTAAAGTCACACAGGATTAGAACATGACTAAGTGTTACTGAGACTGCCAAGCTGTGTAAGGTAAAATGGAAATGAGGTAAAAAATAAGAGTGGCAATGGTATCATTGCTCTTTTTAAGTTTTCCAACAAAATTATGAACTGAAAAGTTGCTAGAGTGGGTTTAGATTAGATCTTGTATGAATATGAGAGCCACTGTCATTAACAGATTTAACAAAATTTTCTTTAGTCCCCAAGCTAGTAGCTATAACAATAAAAGTGTAATGTGCTAATTAGACCGAATGTCCTTTTGGATGTCCTTCCTTCCAGACAAAGTCGCAGCAGGCGGGGGCCACTGTGTGTGGGGGGGGGGGGGGGGGGGGGACAGGGCCAAGGTCCTTGCACAAATTTCGTGCACTGGGCCTCTAGTTTTAGAATAATAGTGTTTTCTCGGAATGTGAATAGAGGTCCTTGAGATGACAAGAGTCAATGTCATTTTCTAATGTTATCTCAAATCATCTCAGCGTTATTAAAATTGAACTATCTATTCATAGTTAAGGACACCTTGTGGCTGGCTACCTAAAGGTTTCAATCTTTTTCTTGTTACTTTAAAATAGGGGTGTCGAACTCAATCAGAGAAGGGGCCAAAATCTAAAAACCAGCCTAAATCGCGGGCCGAATGGTTTACTGAACAGTCATAAACTGTCATTGTGATGGAAATGCAGCGGAGTGCAGTGATGACAGCGCGGTGCGGGCCACATTGCAAGGCCTGGCGGGACGGATTTGGCCCGCGGGCCTTGTGTTTGACACATGAGCTTTAAAACAATCTAAATATTCAAAGTTTTCTGGTGTTCATTTTAGTTAGCAAGTTTAGTTCTGGATTTACACATGCTATACTTTGATTAGAGTAAAAGAAAAATAAATAATGGTCAAAATGAGTGAAGCTATAGTTTATCTAAGTTGCTTAGCTATTTTTTTCTTTGAGAAACTACCTAATTTTAGAAAGTGCTTAGCAAGTACTGAAGAAAAATACACCTGACATGTACTCTTTTTGAAATCAGTCTTTGTCCTTTCCTCCAAAAGATGAGATATGCTGAGTGCTGTTTTCGTACTAGGATGTTGTCCTCTGTGCTTGCTGAAATGTGAATAGCTTGTTGTGTGACAGCCTCTCTTCTCTGTCAGGAGCTCTTTCCCGTCAACAGGCAGAGTGTGGATCACTTTGCCAAGTACTTCACCGACGCGGGGCTGAAGGAGCTCTCCGACTTCCTGCGCGTGCAGCAGTCGCTGGGCACCAGGAAGGAGCTGCAGAAGGAGCTGCAGGAGCGCCTGTCCCAGGAATGCCCCATCAAGGAGGTGAGCACCCCGGCTGCCGTCACCCCCTCACACCGAGCCGGGGAGTAATGCAGACCGCGTGGCGCAGGCCTCACCTTCCTTAACGGGACCTTTATGCAATTGAGTTAGGCACATCCATATATCATACTGTGGGACTTGAGGATACATTTACACATTTAAACTTAATTCTTAAGGGAAATTAACCTGTGTTGATACAATATCGTATAAAAATTGCCTTTGCGCTGTACAACTTATTTACAAATTAACATTTCACTGAGATGGGTCATGAGATCATCAAAAGTAATAACTAAAGAATGAGTTATGGACAATGGACTTATTTAAACCCAAGATATTACCTGTCAAGAGTTTAAAGGTGCGGGTTAGAGGTAAAAATTAACAGCTTGGCTCCCTTTTTCAAATCTCCAGGAAGTGAGACTGGCTCCAGTGAGCCCTACTCTGCTGGGTGCCTAGAGATCCCTGCGTGGAAGAGGGTCACCCCTGGAAGCAGAGATTCCTCTCTCTCGTTCTCTGTTTCCCAGCAGCTCCTGGCCAGAGCGAGGCCTGTTAATTTTTGGACTAAAAATAAATCTGCTTTGAAAAAACAAAACATCGTGTTTTCTGTCCCTGTTATAATCTGACAATAAGTACCAGGAAGGGAGGGACTGAGTAGAATGTTTGCCCAAACCTTTCCCTAACCAGGATGGTGAGCGGGAACTCCCCATCTGCCTATTATTCTGACGACTCCCTTTTCCGCAACATGTAGATGGTGCTCTACGTGAAAGAAGAAATGAAGAGGAACGACCTCCCGGAAACAGCCGTGATCGGCCTGCTGTGGACCTGCATCATGAACGCCGTGGAGTGGAACAAGAAGGAAGAACTCGTGGCAGAGCAGGCCCTCAAGCACCTGAAGGTACAGGGTCTTCGTCGGGGGCGGTCTCTGCTGTGGGCCAAGTGCAGTGAGTGACAGGAAGGCCGATAGGTTCCAGCCCCGTTCACCCAGACTCAGGCCAAGCATATAGCTCCTAATTTTTTTCTTTTCAAACTCTCCACTACCTAAAATGTTTCAGGTATGAGCCCATGAAACACCTAAGGGTAAGTTTTTATTAGAAACAATGATGTTCGAAAATCCACAGAATAGCTATTCAGTATTTCGAGTTAAAGAGGAATACTGTCTGTTGGTTTTCTTTCTGTTCTACACAAGGGAAACTCTTAGTGAGCCTTTTTGTTTAAGGAAACTACAAATTAACATTAGAATTTGAAAATTTTGAAAAGTATCCAGTGGAAGAAATCAGCTGACTCTGTAAATTACTAGTACCTATCTTTTGTGCATAGATACCTATGTTTTTCCTTCTGTGAATAGTCTTCTCGCTATAAAACTATTAAGAAAAGTGAAAGATTTAGATCTGCCTTCAGCGTTGATACTTGAATTGAGAAGTGAAAGATTACCGAGTATAAACTAGGTTGGGATAGAAATTAGAGATAGCTCTCGGTGTCTGAGAGCAGAGCAGTGAGGAAACTGCAGGTTCCATTACCCGGGAGGAGATGACTGTTTAACGGTGTGGTTCTTAGAGGACACAATGGTGGTCCATCAGTGACCCAAGCCAAGGCAGCTGAGGCAGAGGGAGCAATCTGAACAAAACCATAGAGATGACCTGAGAGGGGGTCTGAACGTCGTGAAGGAGAGCTTCACTCCTTGTCACATTTTCACAACATCCAATAGACAGACATAGTAGCACAGCATTTATCATCAGAAGTTCACATTTGTCTCCCTTTGGTAGGGACACTGAGAGGAAGCTGATAAGATGCCAGGATTAAAAAATTCATTTTGATCCGACACAATATAATAAGAAGATAATCCAAAAACTGAGTGTTTTCTAAGCAACTCTCCAGGTTACCATTGTTGTGATTCAAGTGTGTCCAGCCTGCACCTCCCAGGAAAGTTAATGTCTTCACTCCCTCTCCTCCTGCAGCAATACGCTCCCCTGCTGGCCGTGTTCAGCTCCCAAGGCCAGTCCGAGCTGATCCTCCTGCAGAAGGTCCAGGAGTACTGTTACGACAACATCCATTTCATGAAGGCGTTTCAGAAGATCGTGGTCCTCTTTTATAAAGGTATCCGTCCTCGCTGGTCCGCCTCTGTGTGTCCACTTTCTGTTGCAGCTCTTTGAGATGTGGAGCAGGGGGTCAGGCAGAGGGCAACATGGGATTGCACTAATCTTGGCACGTTTTAGTGAGGCAGCCACATTGCGTGTAGAGAGAAGATGCAAATGCTGTATATGCTGCCCTTAGCAACCAGCCCAGTCAGGCCCCTATTCTTATTGGTGGAACTGGTGGTGAACTGGTTATTATTGGAGGGGCTAGGGGAGGGAATTAATTACATAAAGTAATTAGGTCTGTTTTTTTAATTATAAGGATTAACTCTAATAACAGTGATTATCTAAATGTTAAGTTATAGTCAGACCGTTTCAGTTACCATAAAGCTGACATTAAAATTACTGAAATAATTAGCCCTTTTACTTTCTATTTTAATTATTTGTCCCAGCTATTCTCCTATTTTCCAAGGAAATGGCTATTTTTAGATATTCACATTTACTGTTCTTTTCATTGTATTTTTAAGGATTAGGTTGCCATGACAACTGGCACTGCCTTTAATAAATGAATGCTATTATACTAGGGTTTTAACCAATTTCAGTTACCAACAGCATATAAAAATGATCCTGGGCTATCCTTTGGTCTGTGTTATGTAGTGTTATCAGGAGAAGAATGTGATAACTGGCAAGTCCCATTTGAAGTTCAGGAGCTGATGTTTTTCTCTGGCCAGATCTGAATTAGGTCCTTTGGGATGTAGTCATGAGATAACAATGTCTTGAAATGAAGGCTTAAATGTTACCCAGGGTGACCCATGAGAACCAAACCTGCAGCTCATGTTACCAGCCCTCCTTTGGCACCTAGCAGCCATGAGAAGCAGGGACCCCACCCACCCACCCACCCACCCAGTGGGCATTCTGCCCTCACTTTCACTGCTGGCTCCTTTTCCAAACTGGTAGAGATGGGTTCTACATGGGCTTTATGGATGGTCATTATTTCCCGCTACAGAAAAAAAAAAATCAAGCTGTTTATAAACTAGTAGCCTAAGCACACATTTTCCTTCTTCGTTAGTTAATTGCTAACCCCACCAACCAGTTTCCCTAACCAAATTTTTTAAAACTTAGACATAGTTGTTGAGTCTCATCTATAGAAGCACCTAATTTTATTGTACTTAATTTACAACAGAATAAACAGACCACTTTTTATCAGTGAGACCTCTAGGTTGCACATTGTTAGTACAGACAGACCCAGGGAAAAAGACCAAAGACTGAGAATCTACCTTCATAAGCAGAGGGCAGGGGAAGACTGGGGAAAGAGGCAGGCCACTCCATGCTGGTAATTAACAGTTTATTAGGAGAAACTTCCCTAGGAGGTGTGTCCTGGGCAGCTACAAGTGAACTGGATTTCCTCCCTGCCACTTGGCAGGCATCAAAGAATTATATAGGATTCGGGGGCAAGGGCGGTGGGGGAGGAGCGTGGTTTGCGTTGGGTATTAGTATGTGAATGTTACCAAAGAATCATAGGGAAAAGGGGGATGGTCGTGGGTACTAGTACTGAGTGCTACCAGGTGCAGGTAATTACCTGCTTGACCAGGTCAGGGCATTGGGCATGGGTCCCTTCCAGGGACCAGCACATTGCAGGAGGTGGTGGAGGGGACTGAGTTGTTGGCAGAATGAACATTGAGATGATCCAATCGTTTCTGAGGTGGGGGGTTGTGGTAAGCAGTCTCAGTTCTGGCCTGGGTCCATCTCACAGGACAGACAGTGGCCTCATGGACTAGTCTGTCCTCCACACGTATGAGCTTCTACAGTTCGTCTTCAGATTTCTCATTTTAACAGTTAATGCCAACATCCTTCCCCATTGTGTCCTTTTAAGTAATCTAAAGTTAGTGAGGTCTATGACAAGTATGAGCAGGCCCCAGGGAACACAGGAAGGTCAGTGTTAACATCATTTTATTCTCGCCTCGTTACTTTTGGAAATGAAATCAGGAAACTTCAATATCTCACTGAGGTGTTTAAACCGAATGTCATATTTTTTTTTAGGTAATGGCATATTTTTCAGATTTATGCATACAGTCTGCTGTCTGCATGAAATATTTACACGTTTTCTCCTGAGGGCAGTAACCCCAGGAGTGATTGTTCAACCACTACTAAGAAAGTTACTGTGTTTACCTTCTTACCTTATTTGAATGTCGGTTTTTACCCTGACCTTATTTCATTCCACAAACTCTTGGGCACCAAGAGACATTGGTTTCTATTTGCTTTTATAAGGGTTTGGAAGCTTTTTCTATGTGTTTTGCATGTCTAGAAATGCTTGACGTTGCATTAAAGCACTCCTTTCCCAGCTCTGATTTGCAAATGAATCACATGGGGAGCTTGTTAAAAGTCCAGACCTTCAGGAGTTCTGATCTCCCGAGTCCTGGATTAGGTTTGAGAATTCGCATTTTACTGGATTTCCTGATGGTACTGTCACATTGGTCTTGGCCCACCATCTAAAAAGTGTTTGATGCCAGAGGAATAAATTCCCATGAACTAATGGTAACACATTGAAGATCATACTTACCACTAATTCCATGCACTTATATACACTTTACAATTACTAAACTGTGTCTGCTTGCTCTAGTGATACAGATTCCTTTTATTTATTATGAGGAATATCTTTGCTTCAATGCAAGTTTTAAAATTATGAAAATCCTTTCTCCTTTTCTATTTTTTTAGGTAATTGCATAATTTTCAAATTTATGCATACAGTTACTCATGTCCCCTTTGACAAACCTAGTTATTTTAATGACTGTCATTATTGAAAGATTTTAAAATATTTCATATAAGTAACAGTGTAATAAAAGTGAAGAAACTACAATAATGCTTTTTCAGCAATGAAAGGGAAAAAATGTTAATTGGCCATTAAGTGAAAATTCACTTTCTGTATTAAAACCAGGATTTTTATATTTCTGAGACAATAAGGAAAAATAGTAAATTTATTATTAATTTTTAAACACCACATTATTCACTTTAAATAATAATTTCTCTTCCTTTTTGAAGCTAAGTACCCTAGTCTCGGCATGGAGGTCTGAAAAGTAGAATACCAACTTCTCAAAGGACTGTTATTTCTACTGTGGTTTTTATTATGTGTAGAAATTTCTTAGGTTAAATTCTGACCTACATGCAAATTTTCCTAAAATGTTTCTTGTTCTAAAGAAAGGTGAGTGGACTTCTCACCATATATTTCCAGCCTTCTTAAAATAAATTATTTTTTACTTTGTCCCAGTGTGGCATCTCTAATAAAATTCCTGTATTTCCTGAGTTCCAAATGACATAGTATTCAACTTTAATATCTAAATAACTAATGTTGCCTAAAGCTTTACAATTCTCAAACTATTTTTACAATATTGTCTCTTTGATCCTAATGAAAACCTAAAATTTAAATTATAACTGTAGGTTGAGAATTACTTAGTTTTTCTGAAGTGAATGAATTTGTCCATTACACATGAATTGAATGTAATCCTAGAGGACAGTTTGACAGTTATGTCAAATGCTGGAAATTAAATAGTCCCTGACATCCTGAATTTCAGAGCAGAAGAGAGCCAGGATCTAGAGTCAGCTTGTCATTTGCTGAAATAAGGCTCCCACAGAGTGCTGTGGAGTGGTGGGGTTTCCTTGAAAAGGGCACCCAGCTCACACGTGAAGCTAATGTGGAGGGAAAGGAAAGGGCTAGGAGAGGGCCAGGGGTGGGGGGCGGTTAGGTATATCCCCACAGACGACGAAGAAGCTGTCTGGATAGGAGGCAGATGTATTTTACTCTCAGGGAACTCTGCAGTTGGATAATGTCTTTCTTAGTACTTCTATTGATACATATTCTTAGTAATCATTTCTGGGAGATCCTAATAAAGACTTTATAGTCTCCCAATTTTATTTTATTTTTTAAATTGTTATTGTTGAAAGTATTACATAGGTCCCCCTTTTTCCCCTTTGGCCCCTTTAGCCTGCCCCCACCCCAGGCCTCCACCACCCTATTGTCTGTGTCCATGGGTTACACATACATGTATAGAAGTTGTTTGGTTGATCTCTTCCCACTACCCCTGCCACCTTCCCTCTGAGATTCCTCAGTCTGTTCCATGCTTCTGTGTTTATGGATCTATTTTGTTCATCAGTGTATTTTGTTCATTAGATTTCACATATAAATAAGGTAATGTCATACTTGTCTTTCTCTAACTGGCTTATTTCACTCAGCATAATCTTCTAGTCTCCAATTTTAATTGATTCTTCTCCACTCTTCCTTAGAGGAAAAAAAAAAATCGGCATTTTTTTTCATTCTCAAGGAGTTTTCTTCCTCTTTAGATTAGACTTTTCACTAAACAAAAGTTGAATTTCTTCAAATGAAGTTCATGCTTTGCCTCATAAGTTGTTCTGTCCCAAGTTTATTATTTATTCCCAGATACAAGAAATTTAGGCTAGCAGCAAGTATTTATTACTAACTTAGGTTCTTCTACAAACTCAACTTCACACAGTCTGTCTGACTTTTTAATGGACAATACATCTGGTAAGTTTTACTTATCATTGAGTGTCCTTTTCACAATTGTCCTTGAAAAGTGTTTTAGTAGCTGAAACCGGTTCGGCTCAGTGGATAGAGCATCAGCCTGCGGACTGAAGAGTCCCGGGTTCAATTCCGGTCAAGGGCATGTACCTTCGTTGCGGGCACATCCCCAGTACGGGGTGTGCAAGAGGCAGCTGATCGATGACTCTCTCTCATCGATATTTCTAACTCTCTATCTCTCTCCTTTCCTCTCTGTAAAAAATCAATAAAATATATATTTTTTTAAAAAGTGTTTTAGTAGATGCATGTCCTCTTTCAGCCTCTGGGGGGCAGTAAAACACAGGGATGATTTCTGAGCTTAAGGAAATCTCCAAATACTATCCTAAACTATAGGCTTAACCAACTTCCCAACATATACTATCTATCAGATGCATTAAAGTAAGGAGAAAAAACATGTCCTTTTACATATTTGCCTCATTTTTTATTCTATTTTTTGTTTTATGACAATAATAGTTCTATAGGACATACATACATACATGCAGTTTACAAACTGAAAAATATACATATATTGGGTGTACATGCTCAAAACTGTCTCATAGGGGAGCATGATCCAAACAATTGGGAGATGGCTGTTCTAAATCCAGAATCTTCAAGATATCAGAGAGACAGATTTTATAAGAGACTTTAAATCCATGTGTAAGCTAAGTAGTTGAAAAATCTATGTAAAGCATTCTTACATAGTAACAAGTCACTTCTGCAGGATGTAAACTACCTGCTCCTCGCCTCTAAAAACACCAGGTTTTGGTGGAAAATGGGTGGGGAAGTTTCCTCATTATTGTGAGTGCAGGATGTGGAGCTGGGGACAGAAGAAGCTAAAAGACTAGAAGCTAAGAGCAATTCTACAGGATTCCTGGTTCAATCTTTTATATCCAGTTTTTATATCCAAACTTCCTCTTTCCTTCCCAAATTGTAGTATATTTAATTATTAAGATAATTAAGAACCTTATATTGTCTTAATACCAATTGTGTGCATTTTTAGCCAATTTGATTTCCTCAGTTGAATACAAGAGCCAATTATTAATTTAGAAAAATAAGGTTATGTTATAAAAAGGTCAGTGATATTTTAAATAAAAATTATCAAATCATTTCTCTTGTTTTCATAAGCTAAAATCATATTTCGACTGCAAATACATCATTAGAGTGGTATATCAGTATTGTAATGGTTTGGATAGGTATTGGGGACAATAGTAAATCCTTTTTATTGGTTTTGCATCTCATTTCCCACTCAAATCCTCAAAACCATTTGAGTGGGAAATGAGATGCAAAATATGTTATTATTTTGTTATGCCCCTTTGTTATGCAAAATATGTTATTATTTTGTTATGCCCCTTCTCATTCTTAATATTACATTTTTCTAAATTAATCATAACCTGAGGGTATCAGGACATATTTGTATAATTTAGAGTTTTAGGTAATTGATGGGTAATAGATAATACTTTTTGTTAGAACCTGTAACAAGTTGGTCTAATATGTCTCTGTTTTTCTCTTAATAGAGTACAAAGAAAACATTACTATTTGCAGCTTAGAATATGATGCTGTAGGAAAATCAGTTACATTTTTAGCAATAGGGTGAGTGTAGGACTTTGGATTATGTGTGCATTGGTCCTGTGATACACCTAGGAAACTCATCTTTATTTCTAATTATTAATATCCTTATTGCATCCTGCCTTCTTTTCTCCTAAAATAGTAAATCCCCCTTAAAAGTCCAGTCATTGAGGTTGCTGATTAATCAAGATCTGTCTGAAGTTGGCAGGGCACAGCGTGTTCTGAGATGCTGACATTGCTGAGTCATTTGCAAAATCACAAAATATCTACACTGTTTCCTACCAGCAACTTTGGACTTTAAGAGGTTTCCTAGTGTGACTTGCATATAGGCCTGCATTATATCATGACTGATGTGAGGTATCATCATCATCACTACTTACTAAGCTAAAATGCCAAAATAGGCCACTGCTCTATATGGAAATGAGCTTGGTTTCAGTCTTCTAGTAAGTTTCAGGTATGGCTTTCTTTGATAACAAAGCATTCAATGTTCACGTGATTGCTTTCTATTAAAGTATATGACAGGAAGTTGCTTTAAAACATGACATGTGTGTAGTAACTGAAATCTTTTATTTGAAATCGCAGCTGATGTGCTGAGTGAAGAAGCGATATTGAAATGGTACAAAGAAGCACACGTGGCCAAAGGCAAAAGTGTTTTCCTTGACCAGATGAAGAAATTTGTTGAGTGGTTGCAAAACGCAGAAGAAGGTATGATTCCATCCCGCAAATGCTTTCTCCTTATAATTCAAGACATCTGGCCTTCCACAGATTTTTCTTGCTTTCCTAAAACTAAAGTTCTTGAAGTGTCTTCCGTATCAAACACACAGCTTACATCTTAGCCTTTGTTTCTGAATCAAGGCAATGAGAATTTCTACAGGGCAAAATAACAAATCGGCCCTCTTAAATTATCCACTCTAATGGAGAACAAAGAGGAAGAAATAATTAGATCTGAAAGGGAAAACAATACATTTCTTTTAATCACACATTATGGGATTATACAGATTTTTATAAGCACCTTTACCAGTTGACTGATATTTGAAATGGGAACACAAACTCTAAGGATAATGTATGAGATTACATGCAACGAAGAATGAAAAGCTTATTTTAGGTGATTTTTAAAAATGTAGTTATATTCTCTAAAAGTATTGATAAGGATGTTGCATTTTTAGAAAGGCCAAGTTCATTTCAAAGCAAAGGGAACAAAAGTTTGCTACCTGCCCTCAATATCTAACTATCTTACTTAGAAAATGGGTACCTGGGACAACAATGTCTTGTGAGTGAAGAGGGGGGAAGGGAGAGAAGTGAAGTAGAAACTCTCCTGGCCTTATTTAAAAGAAAGAAAGCAAGCCGAAACTGGTTTGGCTCAGTGGATAGAGCATCGGCCTGCGGACTGAAGGGTCCCGGGTTCGATTGCAGTCAAGGGCATCTACCTTGGTTGCGGGCACATCCCCGGTGGGGGGTGTGCAGGAGGCAGCTGGTCGATGATTCTCTCTCATCGATGTTTCTAGCTCTCTATCCCTCTCCCTTCCTCTCTGTAAAAAAATCAATAAAATATATTTTAAAAAATAAATAAAAATAAAATAAAAAAATAAATGAAAGAGAGAAAACAATAACAATCATGACTTTCCTTCTCTCCTAGAATCCGAATCGGAAGGTGAGGACAATTAGATGGCCGGAGAAGCACAAAGCCTAGGTCATCACACAACCCTTGGATTGGGAATGCTGAACCCTTGGAGAAGAGAGACATGGCTTGTTTTCAAAAAAAAAAAAAAAAAAAAAATAGGATAGGTTTCCCTTGTGCAGAGGGGGCAAATGGTTTTTGTTTTTGTTTTGTTTTTAAATGGAGCCCTGAGGCATCAGCTATTATACTTGGGACTCTACCTCTCACTCACTGTATGCTAACTTAAAGCCATTCAACCAGGAGTCCAGTAGGAATCTGAATTACTCAGCAGACTCCTCTTTTTTAGCTGTATTTTTCAGGTACTGTGTGGTGAACGCCCCACTGGTGTCTATTACAGGGCCACTTTGGTAGTTGTGTATCTGCTTGTGTATGTGATTTGACAAACCAGTTTTTTTTTTAAATAAATGGCTTTATAAAAATCTGGGCCTATATTCTCAGAAATTTTATTTCTTTACCTAGCATACATAACTTCTACACAGATGACATTTCAGCTAATATTTTGACAAAAGTATATTTAAAGATAAAATGTTGAAAATTATATTCAATTTATGATAATAATTGTATGGCAACTTAAATGTTTTATATTTTTTAGTATTTATAGTTAACTTTATAGGCCAACGAGGGTTTTCCTTTATTTTAGGAGGTTCTGAGTACAAAGTAAGAAGGCTACGGCATTGGAAGATATTTGACTTTGCCCCATAACTTCTAAGGTGACGAAGGTCATAGAGTTGTTGACTAAAACGGAACCAAATTTCTCATCTTTAGCATCCATATCTGCTTTTTTTCCCTATATTCTGTTGTCAAATTATTTTTGATGACAATATAAATTTCTACAGTTTAAGCAGAGGTTTTTAAAACTGGCACTGCTATTGAATAAACATTTGGAAAATCTACTTCTAATCTATTGATATAAACTTAGCAATTATAGAATACTAAATATTTAACATTTTCTAGCACAGAGTATTTTTCCAAACAGAACTTGAGATAGTGACCTTAAGTAAGCAGCCAAGAGCGAGACCATCACTCAAATAGCAAGGACTTAGTGAAACCTCAAACCCAAAGCGCGTTCTTTTCTCTGGAAGATCAGTGTTTCTTCTTTTTTTTAAAAAAATGAACTGTTTCAGCTATAAAAGTAGTTACATTAGTTATCTATTGCTGTGTAACAAATTACCCCCAAATTTAGCAGCTTAACAACAAACTTACTCGGTCAGAGTTTCTGTGGGCCAGGAATCCAGGAGTGGCTTAGCTGGGTGATTTGTAGCTCAGGGCCTCCCCCCCAGGTTGCAGTCAAACTGTGGACTGGGACTGCTGTCATCTGGAGGCTCTAGGACAGTGGTTCTCAACCTTTCTAATGCCATGACCCTTGCTACTTCAGACCTGTAATTTTGCTTGCCGTAACCCACGGGTTGAGATCCGCTAGCAGGGATGCTTAAGACCATTGGAAAACCCAGATATTTACATTACAATTCATTAACAGTAGCAAAATTACAGTTATGAAGTAGCAACAGAAATCATTTAACGGTCGGGGGTCACCACAACATGAGGAACTGTATTAAAGGGTCACGGCATTAGGAAGGTTGAGAACCACTGCTCTAGGAGCTGTCTCCAGGCTGGCAGTGATTCATGGGCCTTACTTCCTTGCTAACTTCTAGCACGAGAGTTCAGTCCCTCTGCACAGGGTCCTCTACATAGGCTTCCTGGGTGTCTTCATGTCTTAAGTGGTGGCTTCCCCTCAAGGAATGGTCTGAGGAAAGGAAGCCATCATTACTAACCTTATATTGGAAGTGATAGAACATCTCTGCCATATTCTATTCCTCATTGATCAACCCTGGTACAACATAGATAGGGACTCCAGGAGGTATGAATACCAGGAAATAGGATAATCGATCATAATACTAGCCATTTTAGAGGCTGGCTACCAGAGTATAGTACATAGTAAAATAGTTCCTGGAGAGTTTCAAAATCTTCACCTAATGTTAAAACAATGAAAGCAGGAAAAGACAATGTCAGAAATATCTTGATAAATATTTATAAATATAATTTGCTTAATTCTTTAAAAATTAAGTCCATTCTATATGTTTTATATCCTGCTCTTTATTAAGTAATATTTTTTAATATTTTACTATATTAATAACTGTTCTTCAAAAGCATGTTTTAAAGTACATTTTGTTCTTGGTAAAGATAAGGCATAATCTTTATTGCTTTATTGTTCAATAGGAGATATTTTATAATTTTTTCTTTTAAAAATAACCACTTAAAATACTACCTAAATCTTAGTTCACCTGTAATTATTTAGAGAAAAAAAAAAAAGATAGAAATGTGATGTGGTCAAAGGATTTGACTATTTTAAATATTCTATTTACTGAATTAGCATGTATACATTTGAATGCATTTTATACCTATTTGGTACATAGTCCAGGGCAGTGGTCAGCAAACCGCTGCTCTGTTGACTAATGAGTTTGCTGACCACTGGTCCAGGGCAATATTATTTTGATAATAAATCAAAAACATATCTCTAACCTCTAAAAATATGAAAGTAAAACTTCTGGAACTCAGCAGATCCCATTTGTAAAATTGTAGGGGATTTTTAAGCCAAGAAAACCACCAGACTGGAAACAGGTCGGGTCCTGCACAGCTATAGAATCATCTGGGGTGAGCCAGTGTGGTCCTAGCTCCGCTGATTCAGCATCTCTGACAGCTCCAAGCTAATGGCAATTATCTCTCTCTGCTTTCTGTACTTTTGAAAATGGTAGATTTTAAGGTCCATCCTGAGAGATGCCCCTACACTGCCATGGCCCTCCATTTGGGGAATAGGTGGAACCTTTTTAGAGCTAGATTTTGCATATTTAAATCTCTACACCTTGCCTGTGTGTGTGTGTGTGTGTGTGTGTGTGTGTGTGTGTGTGAACTTGATAGGAAGCAGAGAAAAATGCCTAGTCTGTGCTTACCTATTGAATAGAAACAGCACACTTGTCTAACCAGCAACAAATGGCCGTGAATATGAGCAGTCTCAGAAGCCCTCTTTCAGTAAAGCAGTATCCTGAGTTCTGACAGCGTCAGTTCATTTGCCTGTGCTTAAAATGGATGCTGCATAAAGTGTTCATGCTTTTTACTCAACTTTGCTTCACCTCCTTTTGTTGTTCTTTGTGTTCTGTTCCTTTCTGGTAAGAGATTAAGTAGATACAGTCAATCTGCCAACAGTAATAACCAGCTCTTTCAGCGAGAACATATGAGACATAAGAATGTTATTTTTTAATTAGCCGAAATGTTGCACTGTTCTCTTTTGGCAGAGAGAATGATTCCTAGGCACATGTCTTTTTCAGAGATGTTTTTGGGACACAAGCATTTCCTCAAAGCACTCATTACAAAAAGAAAATCATTCCCTGCCTTCTCTTTTGTATGAACAGCACAGTTTTTTGGTTTGTTTTATTATTATTATTATTATTATTATTATTATTATCATTATTATTATTAT